GAAAGAAAAAGAAAAAGACATTGAATAGATGGACCAATGAACAGAATCAAGTACAATTGAAATTACATCCGGTTTCCCCTAGAGGTCAAACTATGAAGCACTTTATAGTCTGTAAACTAAGCAGGTGGAGAGACTTCTGTTCCTCAAGAGGACAGTTGGCCCAATTGTGCAGGGCTTAATGTAATGGCTCCATTCTCCACTAGATGGCGTTGCTTAGCTTACTGGGGTGGATTGTTGTGGCACTTGTGGGTGTGTATGTGAATATGCCAGAGGGTGAAAATGGAGTCACCCAGCTACCCAGTGTCTCTTATCAGAACTCTGTGCTCTCCCCAACCTGCAATCAAGCACATCTCCTTTGTCTCTGGCTTCCATCCACCACCTGCTTCTACACTGTCTGTGACAAAGCCATCAGGCTGCCAGGTGGCACCTCCATCCTGAGTTTTATCTCAATGGGTCTGTTTCCCAACCCCTCATATCTGAGGGACTGCAGCTTTGACTCACTCCCACCCTCTGGGGGAGGGTCTTGCTGAGCAATGGCCAGGTGCTGGTCTGTCCCCAGGAATGTTCATGAGACTGTGCCACTGCCTCTGCCCAGCAAATGTGGCCAGGTGCCAGCCCGCCCCAGAATAAGTTCATGTGATCATATAGCAACAGTGTTTCAAGGATTATGGCAAATCACAACACACATCTGGCACCAGACTTCACCCTTAATGTCCTTGCTACAAAACCAGCAAATGTGGCCATTCTTTGGGTCCACTGGGACCTTTGTCTTTGTGGAGGCCGCACTGCTGCAAATGTCCTCCCAGCAGGGAACTGCCTCTCCCTGTGTGGCCCAAGGACCCCTTGGACCTCTCTTTCTGCTCCTAGGGATTTGTCTTTCCCCCCAGAGCACCACCAGGTATCGACCTCAGAGTTTCAGACTCTGGGCTCCCCCTGTTTATAGAGTCTTAATGGAATTTAAACCCTCTATTTTCTCCTTTCTCCCTTTTTTGTTCAGTCCCTTGTGGCTGTTTCCACTCTCCCTTTTTCTCTCCAGCTACTTTCCAGGTGTGCTTTGCCCATACTCTCCTCCTGCCCCCATTTTCATCTCTCCACAAGCAAAAACAGCTCCCTGCTCTCTGCGGCTTTTCTCTCCCCCAGTTCACCTCTCTGCGCCACATACCTGCTGAGTTCTATGGTTCAGGTTGTGCATATTGTGTTAATCCTCAAATCAGTTTTCTAGGTGTGCAAGAGGGTTTAGTGTTGATCTGGCTGCATTTAAGAGATGAGAGACACAAAAAAAACCTTCCATGCTGTTCTGCTGTCTTGGCCCCTCCCTTGTAGTTTTCTTCTTTAGTGGAGTCTTTATTTGATTTTGGTATCAGGCTAATTCTGGCCTCAGAGAATGAGTTTGGAGGTTTTCCTTTCTATTATATTTTTGGAATAGTTCGAGAAGAATAGGTACTAACTCTTTAAATGTTTGGTAGAATTCTCCTGGGAAGCCATTTGGCCCTGAAGTTTAGTTTGTTGGGAGTTTTCTGATTACTGTTGCAATTTCTTTGCTGGTTATATGTCTGTGCAAATTTTCTATTCTTTCCTGTTTCAGTGGTGGTAGATTATATGTTTCTAGTAATTTATACATTTCTTCCAGGTTGTCCAATTTGTTGGCATATAATGTTTCATAGTATTCTCTGATTATTGTATTTATGTGGTGTTGGTTGTTATTTCTTCCTTTTCATTTGTGATTTTATTTGGGTCCTTTCTCTTTTCTTTATGATAGGTCTGGCTAGGGGGTTATCTATTTTATTAAATTTTTCAATGAACCAGCTCCTGGTTTCATTGATCTGTTTAAAAATTTTTTAGTTTGTATATCATTTATTTTTGTTCTAATCTTTAGTATTTCCCTACTTCTGGCTTTAGGATTCATTTGTTGTCCTTTGGCTAGCTCCTTTAGGTGTAAGGTTTGGTTTGTTTATTTGAGATGTTTCTTGCTTCTTAAGGTAGCCTTATATTGCCATATACTTTCCTCTTAGGAAAAGTATACTGCTTTTGCTGCGTCCCAAAATTTTGGACCATGGTGTTTTCATTTTCATTTGTTTCCATGTATTTCTTTATTTACTCTTTGATTTCCTGTTTCATCCATTCATTATTTAGTAGCATGTTGTTTATCCTCCATGTATTTGGGCTCTTTCCAGATTTTTTTTTTGTTGGGTTGACTTCACATTTTATGGTGTTGTGTTCAGAAAAGATGCAATGTATGATTTCAATGTTTTTGTATTTGTTGAGGCCCGATTTCTGACCTAATATGTGACCTATTCTGGAGAATGTTCCATGTTCACTTGAAAAGAATGTGTATTCTGATATTATAAAATGGCATGTTCTGAATATATCTGTGAAGTCCATCTGGTCCAGTGTGTCATTCAAAGCCATTGTTTCCTTATTGATTTTCTATTTACATGATATGTCCATTGGTAAGTGGAGTGTTAAAGTCCACTATGATTTTGGTATTATTATTGATTAGTTCCTTTATGTTTATTACACATATATATTTGAGTGTTACCATGTCAGGTGCATAAATATTTATAATTGTTATATCTCCTTGTTATGATTATATATGTGCCCTTTTTTGTGTCTTGTTACAGTATGTTTTAAAGTCTAGTGTGTCCAATGTAAGTATTACTACTCTGACTTTCTTTTGACATCCATCTGCATGATAAATATTTCTTTCTCCCCTCATTTTCAGTCTGCACGTGACTTTAGCTATAAAATGAATCTCTTGTAGGCAGCATATAGATGAGTCTTTTTTTTAAAAAATATACTCTCACACTCTATGTCTCTTGATTGGAGCATTTAATCCATTTACTTTCCAAGTAATTATTGATAGATAAGTATTTAGTGCCATTTTATTACTTGTCATTATGATCCATTCTTGGCTGCGGATTTTACCCATTCAGCACTTTGAATGTATCATGCCACTCCCTTCTGGCTTGTAAAGTTTCTGCTGAAAAATTTCCTGCTAGTCTTATGGACTTTTTCTTGTTAGTTACTGTTTTCTTTTGTCTTGCTTCTTTAAATTTGTTCTTTATCATTGTATTTTGTCAATTTAATTACAATAGGTTTTGCTTCTGGTCTGGTTTTGTTGATTTTGATGACAGTTCTCCATGCCTCTTTGATCTGGAGAGGTGTATTTTTTTTCCCCACATTAGGGGAGTTTTCAGCTATTATTTCTTCAAATAAATTTTCTGCCTCCCTTTGTCTCTTCTGCTTTTGGGATTCCTATACTGTGGATGTTATTATGTTTGGTGGAGTCACTGAGTTTCCTAAGTCTATTCTCCTTTTGCACAATTTTTTTTCTCTCTTTTGTTCAGCTTGGTTACTTTCCATTACTCTATCTTCTAGGTCACTAATTTGTTCCTCTGCTTCTTTCATCCTGCTGTTCATTCCATTAAGCATGTTTCTTATTTAGTTTATTGTGTCATTTATTTCTTTTCTTTGTTCCTTATATCTTTGTTAAGAGTTTTACTCATGTATTGCACTCTTTTCTCAATTCCAGTGAATCTTCATGATCATTACTTTAAATTCTCTATCAGGCATGTTCTTTTTATCTGTCTCACTTTGATTTTGCTGTTGCCTTGTCCTATTCTTTCAGTTGGGTAAATTTATTTGTCTCCTGATTTTGTCTGCCTCTCTGTGTCTGTGTGTGTTAAGAATGTCAGTTATGTCTTCTGCTCTTGAAAGTAGTGACTTTATGAAGAAGAGGTCCCAGAGTGATTTGCTGTGCAGTGTCTCCTATGCACCAGAACCTGGTACTTCAGGAGAATTATCCTTTGTGTGTTGCTTACATCCTGCTTTTGTGTCTGAACCACTCTTCCTTTCAGTTCAGTCATCTGCACTGACTCTCTGCCTATTGTGGACTGTATTTATTCTCTGTGGCATTAGTGGGACAGAGACAGGGCAGCTCTTAAGGGTTCTGCCTGCTGGGGAACGTGGGGGTGGGGCGGCAGTTTTAGCAAATTTGCCTGGTGCCACTAGTCCTATGCTGGATCCCTCAAAGTGCTGGGGCGTTGGGGGGCTGGGCATTAGGGTGGGAAGTTGTGTGAGACTGGGCACAGCATATGGTGATATTTGGGCATGGCTTGGTCAGGTGTGCCATGGTGGATGTGCACCCAGTAGCTGGGTGGGGCTTGTATGCAGCTTGACAAAATTTTCCCTGGGCCCAGGGCTGAGGCTAGCAGGCTTGGAGTGTGAGTGTCCTCAGAATTTGTGGGCATGGCACATTGCTAGCAAGTTATTTAGCTAGTGTCTGTGCAGTCTGGCCTCCTGCAGATGGCCCTATGTTTATGTTGGCGGCTGGGGAAGGCAAGTGGCACCTGCCATCTCCTTTGTCTTTGGTGAAGTCCCCTAACATGCTCTGAATAAGTATAAACAGCTGTGTCTCCTGTTTACCCCTGGTGTATAAATTGCCATTTTTTATGTTGCTTCTATGCACAGGCTGCTGTCTCTTTAAAGGCAACGACACAGCTATCACTAGCCCTCTGGGCTCGCCCAGTGCTGAGCCAGCCAGTAGTTAAAGGTCCAGGTTCCAAGTTCCACTGGTTACACAAACTCAAGAATTCAACCCCTCTGGTTTTTAAAACTGAACTTTATGGGGATTTGTCTTCCCTGTGTGAACTCCCTGGTGCAAGGGCCTATTTCTCTACCCTTCTGCATATGCAGCTTCCTTCCTCCTGTGGGAAGTCTCCCTCCATCATTCTGGCCTGCCTAAACTTTCAGATGCAGCCTCTTCTCTGTATTTAGTTGTGGAGTTTGTTCTGCCAATCTTTGGATCACTCTCTGGTTTATTGACTTGGATGTAGATGATATATATTTGTAAACATGGGATGTAGTGAGCTCAGGGTCCTCCTACTATGTCATCTTCCCAAGCTCCCCCATATTAGCTATTTATTAAGTGGTGAAAAGGCAGACTATAGATATTATTAATCTTTTATACTAATATGTTGAAATAACCTTTTTTTCCCCAGCTACCAACCTATAGTTGAATATGTAGATGCTCAATTTGAGGCCTATCTTCAAGAAGAATTGAAAATTAAACGTTCCTTCATTGACTACCATGATTCCCGTATACATGTGTGCCTTTACTTCATTTCACCTACAGGACATTCTTTGAAGTCCATTGATCTATTAACTATGAAGAACATTGACAATAAGGTGTGTTAGGTAAATCCATTAACCTGTCAGGATTTGATAATTATTTTATGATAATATATAATTTGAAGGTATTTGCATACAAGAATTTATTATTTTTTAATATGTTTAATATATTTAAAATATGTTTAATATGTTAAAAGGGATAGCATTACAACATGCCACAAACTTAGTAGTTTAAACAACAGAAGTTAATTTTCTCACAGTAATGGAAAGTAGAAGTCCATGATGAAGATGCTGCCAACATTGTTTTCTTCTGAAACCTTTTTTATTGAGTGGTAGACCATCACCTTCCCAATGTATCTTCACATGTTCTGTACTCTGTGCATGTATCTGATGTCTTTTTGTTGTATGTCTATGTTTCCTCTTCTTTTAAGGATACCAGTTACATTGTATTAGCCCCTATTCTAATGGCTTTATTTTAACTTAATCACCTCTTTCAAGATTCTCCAAATACAGTCTTGTTCTGAGATATTGGGTGTTAGGACCTCAACATATGCATTAAGGGAGGAATGATACATTCAGCCCATAATAGCATTTGATAAATTTCAACCTTAGTTTGCTTTACAGATAAATTTAATTAAGTATGTGTTAGGAAAATAAGATACAGGTTAAAAAATATTTTTAAAAAACTTACAGGTTTTTTCTTGTGATTAAAGATCATACAGATTGTGGTAATTTGCCTGTATTTGTAAATTTGAATTTATTCTATTGTACTATAAAACAATCCCATTAACATTTACTTTACACCATTGATTGTGTGAAACATGAAGTTTTTATGATCCTGGCTAGTGATCCTATCAGAGGGATTCAGAATGCAGTATGTTCATGTATATTTTTTCCAATAGAAGGTAAATATACATATGAAAGAAACTTTTATTTCATGAGATTCTTTTCTGTACTTTATGAGGTTGAAGAGAGAAGAACTTTTAAAATTTGGTTTCTTTTTATCAAAGAAGGCCTGACTTTTGCTATATATTGTTCAAACTGGAAAGAAATTTTGTACCTAATCATATATGTCACCAAGTTGTTGAAAGAAGTTAGATTTTTACTTAAAATCAAGAGCTGACCTAATTTCTTTATTATTAGTGTATTCAATAGCCTGAGGCACAAAGTTTTATTTTTAATCTTATGGGTAGCTGTTATCATCAAAGAATTTCCAGATATAGAAAATTGCTATTTTTTTCCACAAGGACATTACATAAAGGGGTGGGTAACCATGCCTATGTGTCTGTTGTCTTCTAGGTTGCTCAGTTCCCTTCTGCAATAAGTGACTTTCATTCCTCAAATCTGAACACCTAACAAATTAACATGGAAAATTTCCACTTGTTATGTGTTAAGGATTTACTATCATTAGAGGATAGCTTTCTCAGCAGTATAATCCAAGATATTTATGTTAGACTTGAATCTATCTTAGTAGTTGTCTGTTTTTTACCGTGGAAACTATTATTTAAGTTTCAAAAGCTAGATAAAAATTTGAACATCAATGTTATATTGAAGCCCTAGATTTGTACAAGGATTTTTTAAAATGTATTTGAAGAATCTAAAACAAAAGCAAAATACATAGAACTGATTCTTATGCATTCACACTATATCACAAGCCTTGACATTATGTAGCTATGATTTAATAAAATATCTTAATTTAACAGCAATAAAACATGTTTTAGAATTTTGCATATTTTTACTTTCTGCAAAGTTTAATTATTAAGATATAAATGCATGGAGACAGGAGGGATCATGTTGTAGAACTATGAAGAAAAGTTTATGAATAAAATTTCAACCTCAAATATGCAATATGGAAATAGTGCCTTTTTACAAAATATGAATGAAGAGTTTTGTGAGCAAGATATTACACAAATGTATACATACATTCAGCCTTTAGAGTATGGTAACAAAAAAAAGTCTATTATTTTTACGTGGTCTTTGGAAAACAGAAGCAAATATATCTGCAAAGACATGTAGGTAGATCAAGGATCTGTGAAAATGGGACATTGATTAAGATGAATTTATGAAGAAGGTGATGCAAATGAATGACAGGTAGATGGACAAAATAAATCTCATATACAGTTTTGATGAAAGGTCTCTTCTGTCTTTTAGCACTCAGTTTAATAAGAAATCAAATCGATAATGAGTTAAATAGACTATTTCATTATACCACTTACATTTTACTAACTCCAAATGTGTTGAAAGTATAAGAAAGTTTGAGAAAAAAAGTTTGAAACTTTTAAACCTGAATTCTGAGAAAAGATTCATCTTCAAAAGTACTGATGATTTTGGGAAGCAATTTTGTGATGAAGGTATGGTAGCCACTGATTATCTAGTTGTAAAAATTTATTGTCAGAGTGAGGTTTTGACTGTAAAAATTCCAGGATTAACAACACATCCTCAATGGTGATATTTTATTTGCTTCTTTATTTACAGGTGAACATTATACCATTGATTGCCAAAGCAGATACAATTTCTAAAAACGACTTACAGAAATTCAAGTGTAAAATAGTGAGTGAATTGGTTAGTAATGGCATCCAGATATATCAGTTCCCAACAGATGATGAAACTACTGCTCAGGTGAATTCCTCAATGAATGTAAGCTTCTAACTATTGAATATCATTTCTATTTTGTGTGGGAATAAAAATATAATTTATAAGTAACAATATTAGTAATAAATTGTCACTCGCATCTGACAAAGAGACTTTAAATAAGGCATTTTCCCCCAAAATTTATTGTGGGAAACCTTGCCTTGTCTTCCCTTCCCCTCCCGTCTTCCCTTCCCTTCCCTTCCCTTCCCTTCTTCTCTTCTCCCACCTGTCAGACCTTGCCACCGATGCTAAGCAACTACTAATCAACTCTCTATGTAGATTTTTTTGTTATGGAATTAGCATATGAATAAATTTAATAATATTTGGTCTCTTCGTGTACATATTGGCTATTAGTATGTCTTCCCACAAGAAATGTTTGCTTATATCCTTTTTACAAGGATTGGAAAATGGAAAAAACATCCATTTTTTAATTGAAGTTTTGTCTTTTTTATCATTGAATTGTAAGTTTTTTTATATATTCTGGATACAAGTTCCTTATGAGAAATATGGCTTGCAAGTACTTTCTTCCAAGCTGTTGGTCATTTCCTCACTTTCTTTTTGCTATCACTTGAAACACAAAAGGTTTAATTTTGATGAAGTCCAATTTATGTATTTTTGTTATTGTTACTTGTATCTTTGGTGTCATATCTAAGAATATTTTGCAAAATCCAAGGTAATAAATATTTACCTTCTTCTAAGAGTTTGAAAATTATGGTAAAATACACATAGCATGAAAATTACCATCTTAAATATTCTACACTGTACAGTGGAGTTGTATTATACATTCACATTTTTGTGCTCCCATCACCATTATCTATTTACAGAACCCTTTTCATCTTGTAAAACTGAAGCCCTGTATCTAAGAAAGAGTAACTCCACATTACCCTTCCCTTTAGCCCCTGGAAACCACCATTGTACTTTCTACCTATAAATTTGACTACTCAAAATTATACTACTTCCTGAAAACACAATTATATAATATTTGTCCTTTAACGGATGTACAAATAACTCTTTGAATTATTTAGAATATATTCCAAGAAGTGGAATTGTTAGATTTTATGGTAATTATATGTTTAGTTTTTTTGAAGAACTGTCATACTGTTTTCAGTGTCTGCACTATTTTTCATTATCAACTATAGTGTGCAAGGATTCCAGTTTCTCTACATCCTAACCAATGCTTGTTATTTTCTATTTTTTTAAATAGCTAATCTTAATGGATATGAAGTGGCATCTCATTGTAGTTTTTATTTGAATTTTCCTAATGATTATGTATGTTAAGCATCTTTTATTGTGCTTTTGGTATTTGTATACTTTCAGTGGAGAAATATGTACATTTCCATTCTATTTAGTTGTCTAATTTGTTGGTGTTCAGTTGTTCATGATATTCATTTATAATTATTTTTATTTCTGAAATGTTGGTAGTAATGTGTCTCTTTCATTTCTGATTCTAATAATTTGAATCTCCTTTTTTACCTTGGTTGATAGAGCTAAAGTTTGGTCAATTTTGTTGTTTTTTTCCCCAAAGAACCCACTTTAAATTTCTTTGATTTTCCTATATCTTATTATTCCTTATGTCATTAATTCCCAATGTAACCAGTATTATTTTCTTCCTTCTGTCTGCTTTAGGTTTAGCTCTTTCTTCTTTTGTAACTGTCTTAAAATGAATGGTTAATTTGTGGATTTGACGTCTATCTTCTTTCTTTATAGGGATTTATGGCTATAAATTTCCATCTAGTCATTGCTTTGGCTACCTCACACAATTTTTAGTATTTTTATTGTATTTTATTATTATTTTTATTGTTTTTATTTTAATTTCAGCATATTTAACATATAGTGTTCTATTAGCTTCAGGTGTACAATATAGTGATTCAACAACTCCATTCATCACCCAGAGCTCATCAGGACAAGTGTACTCCTTCATCCCCATCGCCTATTTAACCCATCCACTACCCAACTCTCCTCTGGTAACCATCAGTTTGTTCTCTATAATTAAGAGTCTCCTTCTTGGTTTCTTCCTCCCTCTTTTTTCCCTTTGCTCATTTGTTTTGTTTCTTAAATTTCACATTAATGAAATCATATGGTATTTGTCTTTCTCTGATTTATTTCACTTCTCATTATACTCTCTAGCTCCATCCATGTTATTGCAAATGGCAAGATTTCATTCTTTTTTATGCCTGAAAATATTCCATTGTATATATGTATATATGTGTATATGTATATCTCTATCATTTACCTATCATCAATCTATTGTCTACATATCTATCACTTGCTCTTTATTCATCAATCGATGGACACTTGGGCTTCTTTCAAATCTTGACTATTATAAACAATGCTGCTATAAACATTGGGGTGCATATATCTCTTTGAATTAGTATTTTAGTATTCCTTGAGTAAATATCTTGTAGTGTGATTACTGATAAGTGTGATTAACTTTTTGAGGAACCTCCATACCATTTTCCACCATGGCTGAATCACTGCATTCTCACCAAACAGTGCACAAGTATTCCTTTTTTTCTACATACTTGCCAACACTTGTTTCTGACAGGTGTGAGATAATATACCATTGTAGTTTCGATTTGCATTTCCCTGATGAATGATGTTGAGCATCTTTTCATGTGTCTGTTGACTATCTGAGTGTTTTCTTTGGAGAAATGTCTGTTCATATATTCTGTCCATTTTTAATTAGATTATTTGTTTTCTTGGGTGTTGAGTTTTATAAGTCCTTTATATAATTTGGATACTAAACCTTTAGCAGATATGTCATTTGCAAATATCTTCTCCAATTCTGTAGCTTGGCTTTTAGTTTTATTGTTTTCTTTCCTGTACAGAAGCTTTTTATTTTTTAATTTTTATTTTATTAAAAACTTGTTTTTAATGTTTATTTTTGAGAGAGAGAGAGAGGAAACGAGCAGGGGAAGGGCAGATAGAGGGAGACACATAATCTGAAGCAGGCTCCAGGGTTGAGTTGTCAGGGTAGAGCCCCACGCAGGGCTCAAACTCACAGACTGCAAGATCATGACCTGAGCCAAAGTCAATAGCTTAATTGACTAAGCCATCCAGGTGTCCCTGCAGAAAGTCTTTATTATGAGGTAGTCCTACTAGATTATTTTTGCTTTTATTTCCCTTGCTTCAGAGGACATATCTAGACAAATGTTGCTATGGCCCATGTCAGAGAAATTATTGTCTATGCTGCCTTCTTGCTTTATGGTTTCAGGTCTCACGTTTAAATCTTTAGTCCATTTTGGGGCACCTGGGTGGCTCAGTTGGTTAAATGGCTGACTTCAGCTCAGGTCATAATCTCATGGTCCGTGAGTTCGAGTCCTATGTTGGGCTCTGTGTTGACAACTCGGAGCCTGGAGCCAGCTTTGGATTCTGTGTCTCCCTCTTTCTCTGCTCCTCCGCTGCTTGTGCTCCGTCAGTCTCTGTCTCTCAAAAAAAATGTTTAAAACATTTTTTTAAATCTTTAGTCCATTTTGAATTTATTTTTATGCATGGTGTAAGAAAGTGGAACCAGTATCATTCTTTTGCATATAGCTGTTCACTTTTCCAAACACCAGTGGCTGAAGAGACTATCGTTCCTTTTTGTGTGTGTGTGCTATTTATTTATAATTAAATTTTTATTTTAAATTTACATCCAAATTAGTTAGCATATAGTGCAACAATGATTTCAGGAGTAGATTCCTTAGTGCCCCTTACCCATTTAGCCCATACCCCGTCCAGTAACCCTCTGTTTGTTTCCCATATTTAAGAGTCTCTTATGTTTTGTCCCCCTCCCTGTTTTTATACTGTTTTTGTTTCCCTTCCCTTATGTTCATCTGTTCTGTGTCTTAAAGTCCTCATATGAGTGAAGTCATAGATATTTGTCTTTCTCTGACTAATTTTGCTTGGTATAATACCCTCCAGTTCCATCCATGTAGTTTCAAATGGCAAGATTTCATTCTTTTTGATTGCCAAGTAATACTCCATTGTGTGTATGTGTGTGTGTATGTGTGTATATATATATATATATATATATATATATATATACACACACATATCACATCACATATATATATCACATCACAGATATATATATATATATATATATATATATATATATATATATCACACCTTCTATATCCATTCATCTATCGATGGACATTTGGGCTCTTTGCATACTTTCGCTATTGTTGATAGTGCTGCTATAAACATGGGGATGCATGTGTTCCTTTGAAACAGCACACCTGTATCCCTTAGATAAATACCTAGTAGTGCAATTGCTGGGTCGTAGGGTAGTTCTTTTTTCAGATTTTTGAGGAACCTCCATACTGTTTTCCAGAGTGGCTGCACCAGCTTGCATTCCTACCAACAATGCAAAAGAGATCTTCTTTCTCTGCATCCTTGCCAACATCTGTTGTTGCCTGAGTTGTTTGTGTGAGCCATTCTGACAGGTGGTATCTCATTGTGAGATGAGGTGGTATCTCATTGTGGTTTTGATTTGTATTTCCCTGATCATGAGTGATGTGGAGCATTTTCTTATGTGTTGGTTGGCCATCTGGATGTCTTCTTTGGAGAATTGACTATTCATGTCTTTTGCCCATTTCTTCACTGGATCATTTGTTTTTTGGGTGTTGAATTTGAGAAGTTCTTTATAGATTTGGGATACTAACCCTTTAGCTGATACATTGTTTGCAAATATCTTCTCCCATTCTGTCGGTTGCCTTTTAGTTTTGCGGATTGTTTCCTTTGCTGTGCAGAAGCTTTTTATTTTCATGAGGTCCCAGTAGTTCATTTTTGCTTTTGTTTCCCTTGCCTCTGGAGATGTATTGACTAAGAAGTTGCTATGGCCAAGGTCAAAGAGGTTTTTGCCTGCTTTCTCCTCGAGGATTTTGATGGCTTCCAGTCTTACATTGAGGTCTTTCATCTATTTTGAGTTTATTTTTGTATGTAGTGTGAGAAGGTGGTCCAGGTTCATTATTCTGTATGCCGCTGTCCAATTTTCTCAGCACCACTTGCTGAAGAGACTG